CATATTCACGACACTTCGGTCGTTGTACTCTCCGGTGATTGCAATTTTGAACTGTACCCTTCATTTCGTCCATCACAAGAGATTGTTCTAGTTCCACGTGCCATGCCTCTTCTGGATGTTACAGTGTCGGTTATCCCCCTTTTAATTCAACTCTCCAAGTAGCCAGATATTGAATTCACAACGCTTTGGGTCAAGTCACTGAACTCAAGCAATGCTTTTATCCACCGGGTCATGTGTCTGAACAATGTAAATAGTGTAAATAGTTACAATACCTCATCTCAGAAATATAGACAGATCCTGAAGAAGGCTAGAGCGTGCAACGGCCGAAACGTCGTGAATATGTCAACTAAGAAGAGGTCAACAGTCTGAACAATGTAAATAGTGTAAATAGTTACAATATCTCATCTCAGAAATATAGACAAATTCTGAAGAAGGCTAGAGCGTGAAACGGCCGGAACGTCGTGAATATGTCAACAAAGAGGCCTGAACAATGTAAATTGTGTAAATAATTAAAATATCTCATCTCAGAAATAACGACAAAAATCCTTCTGATAAAAGATTTTTTCAGAAAAATACGTTCCCTAAGTCCAGTAACTGTTATTGCTCTTTACAGTTGTGCTGGGGGTTTCCTTCCTAACCTTTTCATTGAAGTAGTGTGGAATGCCGACATTTTGATTATGTTATTATTTTCTCTTTGAGTGAAATGTGCTATCCATTTTAGTTGTTGCTGCTGTTGAAAGTCTTCAAGTGGTATGATTCCTGTTACTTGGCACAGTTCTTTGTAGCGCCAGTCCCCGACAGTCCAAGAAACATAGTCCACGCTAAGATCTACAGACTTCATTCCTTCGTTGGAAGCCATTTTTAATCATTGATCTGAGAAAACTGTTGTATAGAGCTAAGAAATGAGTTTCGTCGCCGTCAATGACATTCATATGACCGTAAGCGTAACTTTCTTGTGGGGAAATACGCCCACTTCAATCATTCTCGACTTCTTTGAACGTCCCTACTTTAACTCTTTCCTTTTTCCGATGCCCTGGCCATGCGAAAAGAATCAGGAACCGTTTCCTTAGTTAAACGCTGATTGCGGCAAACACATTTAAGAACGTTTCGGAAGATTTGTGTTCGGTCTTGTTTTTCGTGATAGAAGTGAAAAGAAGATTTTTCATCGTCCGAGCGAGAAGATTTTCGAACAATAAATAAGAAGAGACATTGGAGTCCGAATTCTTTCCTGGCGTTTCTTTGTTTAAGCTTTTCTTGGCTCATGATTAACGCGTGAGTTTAGAGGCCAGATTTCGAATTCTGCTTCCCAGCAAACCCAGCCCATCGACAAACCGTAGGAATTTTACGTTGTACAGTGTTGACACGATGTCAAGTCATTATTTCGCGTGCTTAAAAAATAAGCTATGTTGTAGCAATAATAAAATATGGTATGTCATAACGATAATAAAATAAAGTATGCAGTAGCAATAATAAATTAAGAATTATAGTAGCAATAATAATAATAATAATATAAGCTATGTAATAGCAATAATAATAATAATATAAGCTATGTAATAGCAATAATAATAATAATAATGTAAGCTATGTAGTAGCAATAATAATAATATAAACTATTATTCGACATTCTAACCACCTGAAGAAGGCCAGAGCGTACAACGGCCGAAACGTTGTGATAGATATGGCGAAAAAGATGAGGACAATAGTCCGAATAATGTAAATAATGTAAATACATTTATTTGCTATATTTCATTCTTGCGTTTGTCATTCATTGGAGACCGGATTTCATCTCGGAATCCACAACAAATTGGCGATGAAGTTTCGAACTCACGCAGAGAAGAAAAAACAACAAAAAATTTTCCCTCGTCGTCCACAACAAATTGGCGACGAGCGATTCGAACTCAAACGAGAAGAAGAAATAGAAAAATCCTCCCCTCATCCACAACAGTAAGAGAGATTCTGGCGAGAAAATTTGTCTAGCAAGACACATTTATGTTCTTTTCCTCTTCTTCAGGACATTGTCAGCCACAGCTTTCTATGCTTCTCAGCTCTAATTAATGTCTGTCTCTCAAACCGCTTTCTGCCATCCATTTAGAAAAGTTCATTCGGTACGTTACTTTCTCTTTCCTTCTGTCTCTTTTGCTTTCATTATGCCATGTGAGTGTTAAATTCTCCTAGCCGTCTTTTCTCCTTATGCGTCTCAGAAATTGCAACTTTCTGACGCTATTATACAGATAACATTTTTGCTTCTGTCTAACTTAAAACTTTCTCGTCTATGTCATTCTCAGTATCCTTCTGTAGAACTACATCTCCGTTGGCCTAAACCAGGGCAGTTTTTTTTTTCTACAGATGAAAAGGAATCATCTTTATCTACAGAAAACTTAGCCAACATCCTCTGCCACATAGAAAGATTCATATAATATTAAAATTCATCTCTCTTTTGTTTGTTTGTAAGAAAATTTTCCTGTTTTGTTATACTATTTTTTTTTATCTTTTGGAAGATATCTTTTGCTAATGTTTTTTTCGTTAAAGACCAATGAAAGTTTTTGGTAAATTTGCAGATAATGCACCAGTGGCAAATTGAAAAAAATAACATTCCTGGTGTAAAATCGCCTGATTATTCCGAAAACAGCACAAAAATGGCGGAAATTTACCGTTTAGGAAATAATGACAATTTTAATTGAGTCTCTTGGCATTCTGGTCCAACCCTTTCACTGTTAAAATGGTTTCATGTAACCGTAACTTCTTCTCAGACAGCATCTTCTCCGGCACTTCCCGTCTGTGGAACTCCCTTCCCCTTACTTGCTTCCCCGATGACTATAATCTTCAAATATTCAAGTGTGATGTCAATCGACAACTGAGATTGTTCCCCGTCCTTCTTTGTATACTTTTCTCAAACAGGCCTCTTTATTCTTGTTCTCAATCCTCTGTAGCCCTTTGCGTGCTAATGGCACTCCCGCCTTACTTGGGATTAATTGCCTTAATAAAAAAAAAATCTCCATTACTGAGCGAAACTTTACTGGCTTCGATTACAGATAATGCCCCAGCCAGAAATTTAAAAGAAATTTAAAAATGTCATTCCTGTTGTTAAAAAAAAAAGAGCCTGATTATTCCAAAAATAGCATTGAAAATTGGCGGAAATCTATCCTTTAGAAGATATTGACAATTTTATTTGAATCTCGATTACCCTCCATTACTACGCGAAAGTTTCTGGCCTCGATAATTTGTCACTTGGGCATTATCTGTAACCGAAATAATGACATTTTTTTTTCAAATTTGTCACTGGGGCATTATTTGCAAATTTACCAAGTTCTTTATTTCGGTTTTGGCAATTCTTCACATATTAGTAGACATCCGTTTATCTCCCAAAATAAAGGTAGAGCCCTGTTTGCTCAAAAATCAGTCCTTTGCTGGTGAGACTGGAATGGTTTCTCCAGGTCGTGGGGGGGAGGGGGATTTCTTTGGTAACAAATAAAAGAGTACTGAGCTGCTACGTGACATCTGTCCTCCTCTACGGCAGCGAATGTTGGACGGTCTCCTCAAAGATGAAGAAGAGACTCGATGCAACGGACGTATGGTTCTACAGGAGGATGCTGAGGATACCATGGACCGAGCATGTGAGCAAAGATGTTTTGAAGACGATGCAAACAAGGAGGAAGCTTATACTTAACATCAGGAAGAGGCAGATGAAATTTCTGAGACATGTAATGAGAAAGGAGGGCTTGGAGAATCTGATACTCACAGGTTGAATAGAGGGAAAGAGAGACAAGGGAAAGCAATCCGTGACATACCTAGCGGGCTTAAGCAAGTGGATGACAGAACATAGCCTGAGGGAAGTAGCAAAGGGAGAAAACTTATTGCGAGCTACATGGGATAGGGAAAAGTGGAGGACCATGATTGCCTACGTCCTGAAGGGACACGGTACATAAAAAGAAATGCTGCCCAACTCCTTTCGATCGTACCGACAAAATCAAAAGGAATACAGGGCAATACATTTTCTGATGGATTGTTTGCTGGAGTTGTCAGAAAGTTGCCAATGTCACATTCGGGGTTCCACTTCGGGTTTTCTGTCTGGATTTATTTCCGTAGCCTGTATTTAGTCACCCTCCCCCACGTGAGCATCATGTGGTACAAGGCTGGTTTAACGTGGGATCTCTGAGCCCGTGGGCTCGGCCAAAAAATATGCCCTTTGAACCCGTATAAACGGGTTCAGGGTCAATTTACCTCCTCGAAAGAGAATCCACCCTTCAGCGTAGCCTCGTTCGGGTTCCTTCCCGCCCGAAGGCAGAGAGTTCAACCGTTCAGCCGGTCGACCGACATCGACTGACTGACGATATTCAGTCACCCATACCACGAGGGCGTCATGTGGCACAAGGCCTTTTTAACGTGGGATCTCCGAGCCCGTGGGCTCGTCCAAAAAATATGCCCTTTGAACCCGTATAAACGGGTTCAGGGTCGGTTTACCTCCCGAAAGAGACTCCGCCCTTCGGCGTAGCCTTGTTCGGGTTCCTCCCCGCCCGAAGGCAGAGAGTTCAATCGGCCAGTCGGTCGACCGAGATCGACTTGAACGACTGCCATAGCCTTTTCCGTGTTTGAATATGACCGCAATGCAGCGGAGGTATAAAATCAGGGTTTTCCTTCTCCTTAGTTGGACTGCTTTCCTCGTCCGTCGAGCTTCATTCATCTTACCAGAAACTGCTGGTTATGAGGCGTTAGAAATGAACTTCACATAAGCGTCTTAAAATAAGTTGTCAATGTTAGGCTTCACTTAAACGGGGTAAATTAAACTGTCATTTTATATCTTTAAATGTTTTTTTTTCCATCAGCGTGGCCAATGGCGCCCTGGTCACTGGGTATTCGGTGGTCATGAACGGGGCTTGGGAAAGTGTTTCTTAATTGAGGTGCCGAATCAGTGAACAGAAACTCTGAAAGTAGCAATAGTGCTGTATATTCAATCTGGAAACCATATTGCTTATTGGTATATTCAACCTGGAGGCCATATTATGGCTGGGCTGCTTATGCTGGCATCAAGGAAATCGATCTCGAGATATGCCCTCGTGAGGCCGCCATTGATCAGCAGCAGTTTGTGGAGCCTGTGGTACAAGAACAGCCTGTTTTCAGCCTTTATTTGCTGCATAGTTCACCATTACCTAATGTCATACTGTGTAATTCTGACAAACATATATACCTTGGTTTTTATTGATTTTACACCATTCAGGGAATAGCGGTTTCTTTTACGCCGCTTAAGAGAAGGATTACCGGTTTTTCTAATTTCGGTGGCTATTTCAGAATACAAGGTGAGTTCTTTTAAGAAATCTATTGACAACAAATACCAAATATCTTATTTACGCTGTTCAGAGAATAGCAGTTTATTTTACGCCGCTTAAGTGAAGGATTACTTCGTTTTTTTTTTTTTGTTTTGTTTTTTTTTTGCTTTTTGTTTGATTGTTTTATTTATCTAGATTTCAGATCAGTTTCAGAGCAGTTTCCTGGTTTCGCGTACATATCTAAGTATAAATTATTATCAAATAGTTTTGTTTTCATACTATGTCGGTTTCATCATTTTCGAATATCGCATCGTTGCGTCTTCACGTGGCAGTTCGTGTTATCGCGTCGATTTTTTTTTTAATGAAATATATTTAGTAAGTTAGGACCTAAATTTGATAATACTTGAATGATGTTTGGTTGCTTGGCTTTTATATGTATTGCTTCTAGTATTCGTAATCGTTTTTTACTGTTTATGTATTTTTATGTTATTAGAAAAAATGTGAAAGATTTCTTACCCTGTGTGTGTGTGTGTGTGAGCATGTGTATATATGCGCACAAACGCATGTTTGGGTGCATATGTACGTGCATCCGTGTGCATGTATGTGTCGGTAGACGGTCGTCTGCGTCTATGCGCGCTCAACATCAGTGTATGCGTGATTGTATTTTGTTGTTTTCAATGGTGATATCCGATTTAATTAAACTGTCATCAAATAAAGAGCATGTTAATCGTCGCGATAATGTAGTTTTCTCTGGTTCTATGAGTTGTTTGAATTATTATTATGAGATAAAATTCTAACTGTCTTTGGTATTTCCTACGTTTTTTAATGGTAGGGTACACGCGATTTTTTGGAGTTTTTTTTCTTCTTTGAATTCCCCAACTGAGTTCTGAAAAATGAAGAACAATAACGATATATTTTTTTGTTCTTTTATATACCTTGCTTTTTTATCGAAATCGATCAAATTCTGCGTCAACGTTTCCAGAGGAATTAACGCGAAGAATCTTACGAACGTCGCTTTTCTGCTTTTTCATGCGCAACACGATTCTGTTTAAAGTCGCTCCAAAGCATTGTACACTGACTTTTTTCGAGGTTGAACAATCTGAAGCCGATTTTTTTCCCAGTCATTTCGCATAATGTTGGCCTTCTTCCGTGTCTCCTTGATGTAATCTTTATACCTTGTGCGCTAGTCTTTTATTCTTTTATCAGCTGATTCAGCGTAAAGAAAATACTCAGGGATACTATAGCGTTTCATATTAAATACATAACCATTCCACCACAACTCACACACACACACACTTCCCCACTTACCCGTATAAATTCCCCCTCAACGTAACACTTTACCTCGAGTGGCCCTCGAGCCTTGTACATGGTGAACCTTACTGCAAAAAAAAAATATATATATATATATATATATATGAAGAAAAATATACGGAAAAAACAAACAAAAATCCTAATATACAATTATGCTGTTTTAATGTTAATATAATGTCAACGTCGGACGTTTCGGTCTAGTAGACCATCTTCAGGACATATTCATAAAACATAATTGACATTAGACTATATTTAATTCAACATGAAAAGACGATGGACATAAGAGTAAGACTGATCAAAACAGATAACTGAAATTTTTCAAGATCAGCGTTGGTAATATGTATATATATATATATATATATATATATATATATATATATATCCTTTAAACTTGTTGATAAACATATTTACCACCACTGAGAAAATTGTTTAACTAGAATAATCTCATGGATACCTATTATCAAAGAACATGATCGATAAGGCCACAATAATAAGCAATAACAGCGTCCAGTACTATATCAACTCTCTATTGGGAACTTAATTTTCAATGGAACTTCATTTGTCATTAAATAGGAAATATTAAATAGAGCTAGGTTTTATATACGGTAATTATCATCAAATTCACCTTATATATATATATATATATATATATATATATATATATGTGTGTGTGTGTGTGTGTGTGTGTGTGTGTGTGTGTGTGTGTGTGTGTTTGGCATAGTCACAGAACTAGAAAATCTAATGATAAACAATTTAGATATTTGTAATACCAAATGACAAATAAATTTCATATTAAAAAAAATCTGTAAATTTTAAAGATATTTCCAAAGAAGATTATTATTGGTCTTGCTTCGGCGTCTCGATTTATGTCACTTGCCCACCGCCATAAAAAAAATCTGAGACTTTTCTATCAATACTTCCATTGGAATTCTTCAGATGAGCTATTCGCTATCGTAGCTATACTTTTTTTTTAATTTAAGAGCAGTACGAGACTGGCGTCGAGATCTCATCAATTGACAGTTGAGCTGGCTAGATATAGCCGTAATTTCTATGCTAACAGTTTCTTCTCTTGCACTTCTCGCTTGTGGAACTCCTTTTCTGCTCCATCTTTTCCAGCCTACTGTAACCTTTAAAAATTTTAATTTACTCTTATTAATTTAGATTACACTTCTTTTGTTCTGACTCTCTAATAACGTTTCTGTTTCGAATTCTTTCACACCGAATTTGTTTTTTTATCAGTAGAAGCCAATATGGAGGAATCCGAAAACAATCGCAGTAATGAAAACTTGGGAATCCAAAATTTCAGGATTGCGGGTCCGATTCGACCGGGAATGGTTTTAATTTGCTCACGGAGTAATTTCTGATTCCAAAATGGTATGATATGTTGAGCTGCGGCCTCTCGGAGTAAAGTTGAAAATACGAACAATTTCATTTTGAAACACTGTAATTTGAGAACAGTATTTTTTTTTCATTTGAACATGAGCTATTGAAAATTAAAGAGTTGTGTCCCTTTAATTGTTTTTATCAGTAGAAGGCAAGATGGTGGAATCCGAAAACAATCGCACTAATGAAAACTTGGGAATCCAAAATTTCAGGATTGCGGGTCCGGATTCGACCGGGAATGGTTTTAATTTGCTCACGGAGTCGGCCTGATTCCAAAATGGTATATGTTGAGCTGCGGCCTCTCGGAGTAAAGTTGAAAATACGAACAATTTCATTTTGAAACACTGTAATTTGAGAACAGTATTTTTTTTTCATTTGAACATGAGCTATTGAAAATTAAAGAGTTGTGTCCCTTTAATTGTTTTTATCAGTAGAAGGCAAGATGGTGGAATCCGAAAACAATCGCACTAATGAAAACTTGGGAATCAAAAATTTCAGGATTGCGGGCCTGGATCCGGCCCGGAATATTTATAATTTGCTCATGGATTCGGCCTGATTCCAAAATGGTATGAAATATTGGACTACGGCCTCTTGCAGTAAAGTTGAAAAAGTGTGACACATGGCAAACATAGACATTCCTGCCGCAAAAAAAAATCAGTGTCAAAACAAAGATTTTTTTCTCGGACACTTTTTTTTACCCATTTTTAACTACCCTCACTCCTTGGCAATGTTTATTGATTTTAAAAATCGATTGTTAGGATTATAATAAAATCAAAATATTTGATAAAAGTAAATTTATACAATTTTTTCTTCTTGAGAATTTACAACAAAAATATTAAACACTATTTATTTATTAGATTGCTGTGAATATAAATATATTCTTGAAAATATCAAGAATAAATTTATGTTCACAACATTCCAAAAATTAATACAATTAAGACTATAGTAACGCAATATTTATCACTTACCAATTTATAAAGAACATCATTCAGTAACCCTCTACTTAGAATGACGCCTGAGTTTTGTATTGGGTGACAAAGGATTGACTTCTGTTCATATCAATCAATGTTTCTGCATATCTTGCAAGCTTGTTCCGTCTCTGTTCATATCTATCTATCTATTTTAGTCTTTTCATATCTATCTATCTACCTATCTCAGTTTCTTTATAAGTAACTCTATATTTCAGTCTCTTCGTATCTATCTACCTATTGATCTCAGGCTGTTCATATCTATCTATCTATCTATCTATCTATCTATCTATCTATCTATCTATCTATCTATCTATCTATCTATCTGAGTCTATTCATTATCTATCTATCTCATTCTGCCCATATCTATCTATCTATCTATCTATCTATCTGAGTCTATTCATTATCTATCTATCTCATTCTGCCCATATCTATCTATCTATCTATCTATCTATCTATCTATCTATCTATCTATCTATCTATCTATCTGAGTCTATTCATTATCTATCTATCTAGCTAGCTAGCTAGCTATCTCATTCTGCACATATCTATCTATCTATGTCGGTCTATTCATATCTATCTATCTATCTATCTATGTATCTATCTATCTAACGCTCTCAGTCTTGATAACTATCTATCTATATCTTTCAGTCGCTTCATATCTCTCTCTCTTTCTATATATATATATATATATATATATATATATATATACGACGTTAATCGACAAATTTAATCGAATTTTCTATCTATCTATATGAGTCTATTCATTATCTATCTATCTATCTATCTATCTATCTATCTATCTATCTCATTCTGCCCATATCTATGTAAGTCTATTCATATCTATCTATCTATCTATCTATCTATCTCATTCTGCCCATATCTATCTATGTCAGTCTATTCATATCTATCTATCTATCTATCTAACGATTTCAGTCTCTTGATAACTATCTATCTATATCTTTCAGTCGCTTCATCTCTCTCTCTCTCTCTCTCTCTCTGTATATATATATATATATATATATATATATATATATATATGTATGTATGTATATAAACGTTAATCGACAGATTTAATCGAATTTTCTAAGTTTACTCGTTCAACTTGTTTTAAACGATATTTATTTATATATATTTATTTTCGTTTTAACACGCTGCATAAGTTGTAATTTATTTATTTTAATCATAAAAACAATGTAAATTTGTAATTATTTTAAGGTTGCACTTTTTTTATTTCTTATTTTATTTTATTGTTTTATTTTTGTTTTTTCCTTACTAACAGTAATTATCAGTTGGGGGAAGATGAATCTTGAAAAAAAAGTTTAAAAAAAAAAGTAAAAGGGGAAAAAAACGGAAAACACATTGCCTTCTGAGTACCTGACGAGTATCCACATAACAAAAAAGAAAAAAGTAAAACAAAATTCCCCCGTAAACAACTTAAATAAAGTTCACACTATTACGATTGGCTGTTTGGTCAACTTCCAATCAAATGTGTGACAGAGGGGTAGGGTTTGCCTATAATATAAATCAGTGTCTGCAGGCTGTCAATTTAGATGTGGAGGGGGGGGCATCATAGACTGATCAGTTCTGACAGGGTCAACTTGGTGAGGTGAGCATGATGTTTTGAAAGACCCGAATCTGCCCAATGACCCAATTCAGAACATCGCTGACGACGTCCTCTAGCGCTAAAGAGCGTATATTCAACATCATTTTTTCTCCTGTTAAAACAGTGACGTCCGGGAAAGGCCGGACGACTACTAGGAATAGACTAGATGACAAATTTGAAAGTCAATTGACGGTGAGGAGAGACCACATATTAAAGCATTCCTGGGCAAGCCAGCCGGTATGCCGATCAACCTTTTTCTAGAGACACACAAAATAATAAACACCCCGAAGGCATCCGGAGACGGGTGGGAGAATGAGATCCCTATTTGAGACGAACCAAGCCTCACACCCACAGACCAGGATTATGACTTGCTCATGCGGGGAAAAAATGCAAGAATATACGCGGCCTGAAAATCCTTTAAACCAAAATGAAATGTCAAATGTAAACTAGCCACATGCAGGGCACAGGAAATCCTCCTGGTGAGACGCAGGAAATACCGGGTCGGGAAGCTCCCCACAGAGCCCAGTTCTTCCAACCAGAGGCATAAATATCCCCCGAATTACCATCTGAGACATTTCTGAAAAAGATCAAATGGCCTGCGGCCGTCGACCAAAAACCTTGGCACGACTTCGACTCAGACATCAGCGAGATACTGAAGTTAATTTCAAAGGTCTCGGTGGATAGACGTTTAAGAACTATATCGAAAATCATAGTCAGCTACGCTTCAGAGCGCTTCGGATACGAGGAAAAGAAAACAAGAGGAAAAACTGTAGAAAATCGAAGAGTAAATAAAATCAAACAATGCAGAGTGGAATTAAAAGCCATCCGAAAGCAATACAAGAAAGCAAAACCGGAAGAAAAGGGACCGTTGCAAGAGCTCCGTGACTCCATCCTTATCAAAATGAAGTCTTTACAGAGAGCAGAATGGCACAGGAATAGAAGGAAGGAAAGGGCGCAAACAATTAGCTTTTGTCTCCAATCCATACGGTTTCACTAAAAAAATTATTAGGCGATAAACGTAGTGGAAGGCTAAAATCGACCCCAGACGAAATAAATGACTTCCTTAAAGAGACATTGAGTGACCCAAATAGGCAAATACAGTTGGGAGAAAACTCATCTCTAATCAGACCGAACCTGCCTGCATACCCTTTTGACTTAAAAGAACCATCATGGAAAGAAATTCAGACAATATTAAAAACAGCCAGATCGGGATCAGCCCCGGGACCTAACGGAGTCCCTTAAACTGTTTATAAACGTTGCCCAATGCTGCTCCGTATGTTATGGAGGTTATTAAAAATTGTCTGGAGAAGAGGGAAGATAGCTACGCAATGGAAGTGCTCAGAAGGCATATGGATCCCTAAAGAGGAAGGAGCAAGTACAGTAAATCAATTTAGGTACATCTCCCTATTGAACGTCGAAGGGAAAATATTTTTTAGTATTTTAAACCGACGTTTAACAGATTTCCTCTTAAATAATAAATACATCGACACCTCTGTTCAAAAAGGAGGTGTCCCAGGCATACCGGGGTGCATGGAACACACAGGTGTCATTAAGCAGCTGCTAAAAGACGTGAAAGCACATAAGGGCGACATGGCTTTCCTGTGGCTGGACCTGATGAACGCCTCTGGCTCAATCTTTAAAACGCCATTACGTTCCCGCCAAAATTATAGAGATCATAGTGGACTGTTATAATAATTTCATATTGAGAACAGCAGCAGGAAACACAACATCTGCATGGCATAGATTGGAAAGAGGCATTGTAACAGGCTGCACCATCTCAGCTACCCTCTTTGCCTTAGCCATGAATATGCTCATAAAAGCTGCGGAAATAGAATGCAGAGGTCCTTTAACAAGATCTTGTCAACGGCAACCTCCAACAAGAGCATACATGGACGATATGACCATAACATCCTCGTCTGTGATTGGCGCGAGGTGGCTACTAAAAGGTTTAGAGAAACTTATTTTATGGGCGAGGATGAATTTTAACGTTGCCAAATCAAGGTCACTCGTGTTAAAAAAAGGAAAAACATCAGAGAGGGATCGTTTTAAATTGTCCGGCGAATTTATCCCGACTATAGAGCAAAACCCTATCAAGAACTTGGGTAAGCGTTTTGACAATACCCTGAAGGACTCTGTCGCAATCCAGGAAACAAAAGACATCTTAGAAGTATGGTTAGACAAAGTAGACAACTCTGGTTTATCCAGTCGATACAAGGCATGGATTTATCAGCATGTTATCCTGCCCAAGATATTGTTGCCGTTGAAAATCTACGAGTTCACTGCTTCTTCCGTAGAACAGAGAGAAAAAAAAGATTAACGCTCGTTTACGAAGATGGCTAGGTCTACCAAAGTGTCTCAGCAGCGCTGCCCTTTACAGTAATTCCAATATTCTTCAACTCCCATTTAAAAGCCTTGTAGAAGAATACAAAGTCGCTAAAGTGTGAACGGTAATACAATATAAGTTCTCCAAGGATCCAAAAGTGGCAGGAGCAAATATTGAAGTCTACACTGGGAGAAAATGGAACGCGGTAAAGGAGTTGAAATTGGCAGAAGAGCGTCTTCGCAAAAAAGTAGTACTGGGTACTGTTGCCACTGGTTGTGCAGGGCTTGGTTTTTTCCCCACAGTTAGAATTGACAAAGCTGTAGGCAAAGAAAAACATCGACTCTTACTGGACGAAATTCGCACAGGGGGAGAGGAAATGAGAGTAGCAAAGATGATTGGGTTAAAACAACAAGGAGCAGAAATGGGAAACAATGATTCATAGGAAAGTTAGATGTTCTGAACTATGGCGTAACGAAATAGGCATGAACTTTTTAATCCGATCAGTTTACAACCTTCTCCTAAGCCCAGTTAACCTAAAACTATGGACTAAATCGGGATCGCCCTTATGCGGTCAATTAGGGTCATTAAAACACATATTCAGTAGCTGCAAATCAGCGCTGGCTGATGGTAGGTACAGATGGCGCCATGATCAGATATTAAAAGACATAGCAGAAGTCGTTAATACAGCCATCCGTACAAATACATTTAATTCAAACAGGAATGTTATAAATTTTATTAAAACCGGCGTAAAACCTAACCCAAATAAAATGATTAAACCCAATTGTCTATCGTGTGCAACAGACTGGGATCTTAGGGTAGATATGGGCAAAAGATTAAACTTCCCGGATCACATCGTCAAGACCCTATTACGCCCAGACTTAGTCCTCTTTTCAAATAAGTTAAAGAAAAATCATTATGTGGGAATTGACAGTCTGTTATGAGGACAGTGCAGAAGAAGCGAATGAACGGAAAAAAAAACTAAGATACGGCGAATTACTGGAAAATTGTAGGAGCAATGGATGGAAGGCAAGCTGCAAGCCAATTGAAGTAGGCAAAAGGGGGTTTCTAGAAAAATCACAAGTCAGCGTCCTAATAGATATTAGGATAATGGGAGTAGAAAGACGAAAGGCTATCCAAACTATTACTGAGACAGCAGAAGAAAAAAAAACAGCTAAATGGTTATGGCCAAAATGAGCCAGCGAATGGACAAGCAAATCAGAGAAAAAAAGTCTAAGTTCGAGGTAGATTAAAACAAGGTTTTTTTTGGAGTTTTTTTTTTTTGTATTTTTAATTATTTTATGCAGTGTAGTTTTACAAATCTTTAATTGTATATTATTTTAATGTAAATAGTATAAAGATATGTCACAGCTTATAACTAATTATAAATGCCGTATTTGGTTTGTAAATATGTGGTAGTCATGGTTAGTTGTAATTTTTTTTTTTTTTAACACATCTCCCAATTTTAACTTATTTATCTAACTAATTTATTTTATTTTATTCATTATCATTATTTTTTTTTTTTTATTTTTTTTTTTTTTTTATTACCTTGTTTGCTTAAATGTTGGTAAAATATTGCATATTAATGTGATTTCGATATTTTTGCATCTAGAATAAAGGCACAACATCGTAAAGTTCAAAAGGGTTGTTTTTTTTTTTTTTTTTTTCCAACCATTTTCGTTCTTTATTGTTTAAACTGAAAAGTCTTTTGACTTCCATTTTATCTCTTTTCCTTTTCTGTCACCAACTATGGGACTATATGTGAATTAATAATTATTTGGGACTAATTTTGTTAAACGTCTTACCTAGCAACATTGTTCACCCTTCTTTCCGTTTTTTTTTTTTTCGCGTAACGATCAAAATCGTAAATTTAATTTTATTTGTTAATCTCACTCGTTAATTTTAGTTTATCATTATTTAATTTATCTTTTAATCGAATTTTCTTGTTTAATCGTTCAAATTGTTTTAAACGACATTTATTTTTATATTTATTTTCGTTTTAACACGCTGCAGCATCTAGAATAAATTTATTTTAATCGTAAAAACAATTCAAATTTCAATTCACACACACACACTTTCGTTCTTTATTGCTTAATAGAAGTTTTTAACGTCCTTTTTATCTCTTTTTCCTTTACTGTCACCAACTATGGGACTCTATGTAAAATAATAATTATTTGTAACTAATTCTTGTTAAACGACTTACATACCAACATTGTTCACTTCTTGTTTCCGCCTTTTTTTTTCTTTTTTTTTTTCGCGTAACCATCAAAATCGTAAATTTTATTTTATTTGTTAATCTCACTCGTTAATTTTATCACGTTAATCGACAGAATCGAATTTTTTAAGTTTGCTCGTTCAACTTGTTTTAAACGACATTTATTTATATATATTTATTTTCGTTTTTAACACGCTGCACATGTCGTAATTTATTTATTTCAATCGTAAAAACAATGTAAATTTTTTAATTATTTTAAGGTTACACCTTTTATTTATTTCTTATTTTAGTGTTTCATTTTATTTTATTTCTTTTTCTTTACTAACAGTAATTATCAGTTGGGGGAAGATGAAACGTGAAAAAAAAATAAAAGGGGGGAAAAAAACGAAAAACACATTACCTTCTGAGTATCCGACCAGTTTCCACATAAGAAAAAAGAAAAAGTAAAAAAATCCCCGTAAACAACTTAAATAGAGATGGTCTGGGGCACCTTCTGTTTACCTCGGAGTTCTTGACAAGATCCAGAGACGGATATGTAATATAATTGGCCCTGATCTGGCGTCTCGTCTACAGTCACTCTCTCACAGACGCGCCGTCGCCTCTCTCTGTCTTTTTCTACAAATACTTTCATGGTAATTGCTCCGATGAGCTGCTTTCACTGGTTCCCAGACTCCATGAATTCAAGCGCCCTACGAGGCTGGCATCCCGCTCTCACCCTTACACTGTAGATACTTTTAAATGTAGCCGTCTCTTCTACTCCAATAGCTTCATTCACCCCTTTGGCTCTCGCCAGTGGAACACCCTTCCCAATTACTGTTTCCCTGAGAGCTATAATCTCCAACTATTCAAATGTAATGTCAATCGACATCTCCAGTTACCTTGATCTACCCACTATCCTTCTCCTCATCCTTTCTTCTATCACTCCTATCTGCTCTCGCTCCAAATCTTCTGCAACCCCCTGCATCCTAGTGGCTTCGTCCTTGCTCAAGGGCGTAATGCTTAAAAAAAAAAAACAAATATTTCTGGACTGTTGGTCAACTTCCAATCAAATGCGTGACAGAGGGGTAGGGTTTGCCTATAATATAAGTCAGTGTCTATAGGCTGTTAATTTAGATGGGGGGGCATCAGAGACTGATCAGTTCTGACGGAGTCGACTTGGTGAGGTGAGCATGTTTGAAAGACCCGAAACTGCCCAGTGACCCAATTCAGAACATCACTGATGACGTCCTCTAGCGATAAAGAGCGTATATTCAAAGTAATATATATAATTTTCTTTATAATTATATATTTCAATGTCTTCATATGCATCTACCTATTGATCCCAGGCTGTTCATATCTATCTATCTATCTATCTATCTATCTATCTATCTATCTATCTATCTATCTATCTATCTAACGATGTCAGTCTCTTCATAACTATCTCACTCTATATTTCTGTCGCTTCATATGTATCTATCTACTTATTCCAGGCTGTTCATATCTATCTATCTATCTATCTATCTATCTATCTATCTATCTATCTATCTATCTAAATCCTCTCTCTCTCTCTCTCTCTCATCTATATATATATATATATATATATATATATATATATACTGTATGTATGTCTGTCTGTCTATCTCTCTATCCCAGTCTATTCATCACTATCTATTTATCCCAGCCTCTTTATTACTATCTATATATTTCAGACTCTTTATCACTACCTATCTACCAATCTATCAACTTATCTATCTACTTCGGTTTCTTTATCTATCTATCTATTTCAGTCTCTGTTCGTATCTATCTATCTAGTCCCTGTTCATTATCTATCTACCTATCTTAGTCTCTGTTCATATCTATCTATCTATCTATCTATCTATCTTAGTCTCTGTTCATATCTATCTATCTATCTATCTATCTATCTATCTATCTATATTAGTCTCTGTCCATATCTATCTATCTATCTATCTTAGTCAATTTTTCACACTCTATATTTACTTCTGTTGGAACAGCAAAAACTTCTCATTTTTCAGATTTGCAAACTCCCCTTGTTTCCTTGTTGGAGAAAAAGTTATTGATAACAATTTACTGACCTCATTTAGCGTAAGGTCGATGAAATCATATTGTTCTTTATTGCATCCACAGTTTAGAATTTGCCACTTTATCATAATATGAGCCAAATAAGAATAGGAGCCTATGAATTTATCTCGAAGTCATATTTATCTATCGCCCCCTTGAGGTCTGTTCATATCGATCTATCTATCTATCATCAAAAGATAGGTTCGTATGTTTCTCTCTAGCTACCTATCTTTTGAAATATGTTCATATACATCTATTTATCTACCTATCTATTTATATCTCTAGCTCTCTAAATCTGTTCATATCTATCTCATTATATTAGCGAGCTTTTTCTTTAAGTCTGTTCATATCTATCAATCGATCTATCTATCGAATTCTATTTATTTCATATCTATCTCTGTTAACGAGATAGTTCACAAAGTCTGTTCTATATATATATATATATATATATATATATATATATATACAGGGTGACCCAAAAAAACGGGAACTTTTAATAATCCAATAAAACCAAGAGTGATGGAAGAAAATTATTTTATTCATAGTAATTGAAACCTTGAAACATGCCATTTAAGAAACAATGATGGAATTTTCATTTTTTTAAAATTATGTCCTGTAGATGGCGTCCTCCTGTACGAATGCATTCTTGAAATCTGCTGTTGAGATTCCTCATTGACTGCTGCAACATCTCAGCTGGGATACTGTGAATTTCATCTTGAATTCTAAATGGCGAAATGTTTACTTGCTCAAGGTCACTGTCTCGCAGTGTTGCCACTTGCTCATGTCTGGCAATACGCACTTCAAAAATTCCCGTTTTTTTGGGTCACCCTATATATATATATATATATATATATATATATATATATATATATATTATATATATATATGGATAATTATACATACATATTAAATTTTGTTTCATATATATATATATATATCGAACATTATTTCATATCTATGTATCTAAATATAGCTATTTCTATTCTAACCGCTAATTCACACTGTTTCTCTCTCTCTGTCTTTAATTTTCTCTTGAATCAAATAAAATTTCTATCTCTCTCTCTCTCTCTTGGAATCTCTCTCTCTCTTTGCTATCCGTAATCTATGTTGGACGCTGGTTTTATTTAAAAGTATATATTTATTTAGATATGAAAATATTATATCATTTAATATACTAATATATATATATATATATATATATATATATATATATATATATATTATAAAATATAATTTTAAGATATGCTTGTGGGTTAAAATTTATACTCAGTATTAGGGTGATATAATACGTATAACGCAGAATAATCTAGTTGTTTAAAAAGATACTTTTAGTATTCGACTAACGGTCGTCCGGCATCGACTGATTGAACTTCCTCTTTTTCCTCTTACTAAAACTACTTATTATTATAGGTGGGAGAGACTATTAACTATAGAATAGGTTTGTTACATAAACAAAGGGATAGAGCTTATCATATTTAAAAATTGTTATAGAGCCCACAGTCTGCTTTATTTTTAAAAGCAATCATCTATTTCATTCTAATTGCCTTTTTTTGCGTTTAGGAAAATTTTTGTCAAAATTTTTGTTTTTTTCTTCAATAATTATATATATATATATATATATATATATTTATATATATATATATATATATATATTTATATATATATATATATATATATATATAAATTTATATATATATATATATATATATATATATATATATATATATATATATATATATATATATATATATATATATATATATATATATATATATATATATATATATATATACATATATATATATATATATTTATATATATATATATATATATACATATATATATATATATATATATATACATATAAAATATATATATATATATATATATATATATATATATATATATATATATATATATATATATATATATATATATTATATATATATAAATATATATATATACTGATATATATATATATATATATGAATATATATATATATATATTAAATATTATATATATATATATATATATATATATATATATATATATATATATATATATATATATATATATATATATATATATATATATATATATATATATATATATATATATATATATAAAAAATTTATAATATCTAGACGTCTAATTTCTAATTTAACTAAAAGACCGCTTATATACACGGTTCCATTAATAAGTTCGTAGGTTAATGAAGGAATAAATCTTAATAGTGAATTCAGCTTTTTTTTTGTTTGTTTTTATTTTAAAAAATTTCCTATTCTCGTATGTTATTCAGATGGCTGCAAATCATCATAAAACGTTTCTCCTCTAAATTGACCTCAAACGCTTCAGAGAAACACTGAATAAGTGATATCTTTCCAATCGGTAAATACATGACTAATTCATATTATTTAGACGACTTGTAATAACAATTTATGCGTAGGGTTTTGTTCTAATACATCAATTATGTTGTACAACAATTGAGTAGAAAGGATGTCTGCAATATAGATGACATAGCGTAATATAAATTACTGGCCGGGGGAAAATGATGCGATATTTTTTAAATATTTTACTATTACCTGGGTCGGTGCAGGGGTGTCGTGGCTCCCATTACGAGCCTATGATACGCCTACCCACTTTATTACATCTAAATTTTCATATGATAATATTCATATAAAATAAAAAATTTATTGTAACCTAATTATGTACAATAATGAATCATATGCAATATAGGTGAACATTTCAACTAGAAAAAGTGAAAGTAAATACAATGTATCTAAATACAAATTATAGATATGTCATAATAGATCATTTCATCTTACTTATTATAAAACGCAGATCGTGTGTGTGTGTGTGTGTGTGTGTCTGTGCCTGTACATTTATATATTGGAACAGATTTCCTACATTTTTCAACCGATTTCAACAAAACTTCATAGAACCACGTAAAATTACCTTGCGGTGGTTCTGACAGCACCAAAAATTGGAAAAACACAAATCGAGTAATACTTATTATAAAACCCAGGTTGTGTGTGTGTGTGTGTGTGTGTGTGTGTGTGTGTGTGTTTATATATGGGATCTGATTTCCTACATTTTTCTACCGATTTCAACAAAACTTCACTTTTTTTGGCAGGTAGTGTTTTTTATTGTCTTGCACACTTTTTTTCTTTATTTTTACATTCAGAATGCTTTAAAAATTCCATTTACAAGACAATTGTTTATAATAAAATTATATTCAATCGATAGACTCATAACGATTGAAAATCATGTTTTTGTTTGATTTTGGGTTTGACCAATTCGTAAAAAAAAAAAACCAAAAAAACTAATTAAGACATGCGTGTCCGTCAACCTTAAACAATAATCTTTGTCAATTTCATTTTTCCGTCTTTATAATGGTCGATATTTGATCTATCTCTTACTGTTACATCCCCGGGCTCTACTGCTAGTCTTAAATAAATAAGCAATGTTTTGCGGCAAATTTTTAATATCGACTTGACATTCTTCTTTTTAAAAGTTGAATAATTTTAACACATTCAACATTATGGATAAAAAGTAAATTTTATATATTGTTGTTTTTTTTTTTTGTTTTTTTTTTTGTTTGGTTTTGTTTTGTTTGTTTTGTTTTGTTTTTTTTTTAAATTTTTGTTCGGTTTTTGTTTGTTTTTTGTTTGTTTTGGGGTTTTTTTTGTTTTTTATGCTTTGTTTTTTTTTTGTTTGTTTTTTTTGTTTTTTTCGAGGCTTACTATGAGCAAAACAAATTCACCGATCGAGAATGACGTCAAAATCTGCGAAAATTTTTCATCCTTTAATTGAGCTGAGTTTAATTTCACATAAGCCACCGCCGGTCATCAGTGACCCTGGATTTGATTCCCACCCATCTGCTTCTCTGGAACATCGCCTCCCGTGGCTGAACAGGCCGATGCGCCAGTGACAGTCTCTATTACACAGACTGTGCATTGTCTGTGTGTTGTCTATGCTGCAGCGTTGTTTTCTGTCGGTCCGCTTGTCTTCTGCTGCATTCTTCAGTTTCTCTTCTCCTGACATCAGTTGTTTCGTCAGGGTCCGTCTCCACCCAGAACGGCCAACAGCAAAGTCTTCCCAGTGGTTACTATTGATCTCAAGGTCCTTCATGTCCGTCTTACAGACATCCCTGTAACGCAACTGAGGGTGACCGGTGTCTCTTTTGCCGTTTGCAAGTTCCCCCGTAGATGATGTCTTAGGGAATTCGGCCATCCTTCATACGACGAACATGATCCAGCCATCGGAGCCTGAGACAGGCATGAGAGTTGTGTACTTTGTCTTTCCACGATATGCCCAGGGTGCAGTGGATACACCTCAAGTGGAAAGGGTTCAGTCTCTTCTCCTGTTTGACATGTGTCGTCCATGTCTCGCTCCCGTAGAGAAGTGCGCTTATGACACAGGCGTTGTAGTCTGTCATCTTTGCCTTGACAGAGAGCGTCGAGTTTTCCAACC